TTTTTTAATTTGTATATGCCTTGTGGAGGGGCTGGTTATGTGTGGGGATTGATGCTAATGGGTAATGCAGCGTTCGCTCAATGCGCCGTCAATCGCACGATAACCGCTACCTGGGTGTGTCGCGAGCAGCGGCTGACGATGAACTCGTGTATGCTTGCGCATGCGAAGCCGGAGGAGGAGGACCGCGCCCGCGAGGAGTGGTTTGCGACGTATGAGGAGCGGCGGAGGGAGAGGGATGAGGAGCTGAGGAAGGTGGAGCAGAGGAGGGAGGAGATTATTCGGATGATGAGGGAGGATGAGGCTAGGTCGAAGACGAGGTGATTCTCTTTCTTCATTCTTATTGTGGTTCTCTTTTTGCCTGGGGGTGTCGGTGAGTGGGTGTGACTGTACTATTTATTCTCTGTTCATGTGTGGCTTTGGGTGTGATTTAGGCGTTTTTTTACCTGTTTCGCTTTTGCCAGTTTCTGTTGCATTAGGATTGCAAGTCGTATATCATTATGTACAGTAGATCAAGTCTGTTGATATCCTACAGACTCAATGAAAGCAAATCTCCTCCATCAGATCTGTTGTCTGGGCTGATAGTATTGACGGTATATAACTTGTTGACCGAGCGCCGAACTCCCAATCGCCAGTCCCATCCATATATTTTCTTTTTTTTTCGAGAGAGAGAGAAAGAAGAGGGGGAAAGAAAGAAAGGATTAAACATCCGTCATGTCTTTATCTCCATCGTCATCTCCATCTCCATCCCCCATAACAGCATCCTCGCCGAAGATATCCTCCATCTTCCCATCTTCATCCTCCTCGCCCCCATCTCCTTCCTCCTCACCACCCGCACCAGCATGATTGTTCTCCTTCGGCTCTTCCTCTTCCTCCACCTCCTCCTCCCCTTCACTCTCCCACTCATCCTTCATGTTCCACCCAACACCCGTCAAACAGAACCTCTCCGGCGGCAACCTCATACCCCCCATTAGAACACTCTGGTTCGCCGCCGGCTTCGCCTGACCCTGATCATAACCCCTCGTAGCACCCGGCAGGGCCACGCGATTCCTCTCCGCGGCAACATCCATCAGGAACTCCTTGGGCAACCCAGTCTGAAATTGATAATGCAAGCGCGACGCAATACTCAGCCGCAACGCCGGCAAGCTGACGGTGTTCACCTCAGGCGGGCCCCTGGCCGAACCGGCCTGCTCGCCCACGGCGCCAGCATAGCCCTCCGTCGCGAGATGGACGGCGTCCTGCAGGACGCCGGAGGTGTAGCGGTAGGCGAAGTCGAGGAGCTGCAGGGGCACCCGTTCTTGGTATGAGGTGACGCCTAGCGAGGCGAGGAGCATGTGGATGAGACGGACATCTCGGGGGCGACGGGACTTGCCGCTGTCTTTTAGAGAGGTGGAGGGGACTTGTGTGGGTTGTGCGACTGGTGCGCTGGTGGTGGAAGATCCGGTTGCGGGCTGCTGTTGTTGGGACGAGGCGTTGTTGGTGGTGGTGGTGGTGGTGGTGTTGGAGGGCTCGGCTGGGGGTGTGAGGGGTTGGGTTGATGGGGCAGCGGTTTGCGATTGGTTTGGGGAGGCCATTGTCTTGTGTCTTTGCGGTGGTTGTGAGATTGAGTTTAGATGTGAGCGAAGGTTACTTCGGTAGCTATCCCCGTAGGATGTGGTAGAATTTAGTGATCGTGGACGGCGTCACTTATGGCCAAGTCGGCATGGCCACTGTACGTTGGTACCGTGGTAGGGTATTAGGAAAGTAAATATTATTCTATGTTCTTCTCGAGAAAGGACCGACAAGAAGGTAAAAGTGGTGTTGCGGTCAGTGAGTGAGCTGGTGAAGACGCGAAGAACATTGAAGGTCAATGATCCCGATCGGCGCTAGCCCGCTTCTGGTAAGTCAGTGGTAACGGGCCTCCAGCCTATTGATGCCTTTGAAACTATAGCTTCTCGACTTTCTCTACTATTAATGTAACCATATTATACGTTTAGCACTTCGCTTCACACCAGACAGAATTATGTTTATATATAGTCTAATGGTCTATCTCCGGTTGCAACCATGCAGCGGTCATAGAAAACCGCAGGCCGTCCTGCTGCTTGTATATCACACATGAAACCCGGAAACGCTCAACATATGAAATAAAACAAGAAAATCACCGATGCAGCCTGTTCAACGCCAACTATGCAAAAGAAATAACACACCACAATGCAAGGGCCAATCTCAGATGCCGGAAAGCCATATAAACACAATAGTCAACGCCGGGAGGGGTATCTATGAGCGTTGAAAGCCGCGCATAGTTATTACACTTGTTGTATGTAGGCCCGGTCATTCTCAACGTTTGGGAGAGGGGCTAGCATTAGCAGCCGCGAAGCGACTTGGTTTTGGAGTCACGTTAGGCCCGTCGTCTGCGCCTTCGTCGTCCGCTTCATCATCTTCTAGGTGACTCTGACCATCCGCGAGATCAAGTGAGGCAAGTGAGGCCTGCGAGATATAGCTGTCACCAAGGTCTTCCTCGGCATCCTCATCAACCTCACTGCCTTCTTCGTCACTCAGCTCCGCGTCATAATCATCTTCCTCGTCCTCGTCCTCGTCCTCTTCGTCTTCTTCATCCTCACTATCTGAGCTTGAGAAATCGGCTAGCTCCGGTGGAGGTTCACGCCAGTAAGTGAAATCAGTGTACTCTTCACCCCCAGCCTGAACAAGTAGACTAACGGGCGGGAAGAAATGATCCAAGAGCTCCTGCATGGTAACGTAGCTGCTCTTATACTTGTTCAGACTGAGAAGATCTAGAGACACCTCGGCATTCGAGTTGATCGTGAAGATCCTGGTAGATGGGATGTTGACAGATCGGTAACTCAAAGCGTCGGTCAATCGATTGCCGAATCCAGCATAGAAGGGATTCTCCTTTCCATTGAAGAGGTTCAGAATGTCCCGAAGGCATGCCATCTTGAACACTTCTGGTTTCCTCAGATAAATCTCTCGCCTGAGGGCTGCAATCATCCGGTCGGGACTCGTAATAACGGGACCTTTGGGCAGTCTATATCCGTCCTGGTTAACGCCGTAGATATATGCGCGAGTAGTATCTGCCTGGCCAACAGATCGGCTAGTAAGGTACATAATATTGTAGCCGTTATTGACGATGTCTGTGTATAGCTTAGCTACTCCAGCGTGTGTCCAGTCGCGGCCAATCATATTCAACACATGGCCCAAAGCATCAGATCTACCAGTTATATTAGCCAAAGATGGGCCAAAAATGGTCAGTCTGCTTCAAAGTAACTCACTTGGTAATTGTCCCATCAATATCTGATATGACGATCGGTGTGTTTCCGTTCCACAGATACATGGTTGCCGTGCAAGTGGCTCTGTTGACGCTGAATGACATATCATTGGCGCCGGGCTTTAGGTTCAAAGCCTTAAGCTGATCGCTCGTCAGGCGCAAAGTCTTCGCGTAGTTGCGAGTTGTCTCTCCAGGAGTCGGTGACTGCGGAGGGGTAGGGATGCCCGGCTGAATATCAGACTGGGTGCGATGGTGGCGGGCCTGGATCGGCGAGTCACGTACGGACTTGTCGCCGTCACTATGATACCCGGGATCAGAGATAGCGTTGTCACTCATCGCAGAGCCGGGCCTCATTGAGCTAAACGCGGCGCGGCGGTTAGCGGCTTCCTTGGCTTCTTCACTGCTATAGATCCACAGGTTTCCATGCTCGTCAGCTCCTATAAGGGCGCCAATGTCGTAACACCCTTCCAGCTCTTCAGAGAGAATTTTACGCGCAATGACTTCAGCACGGAGAGCGTCCTCCTCGTTGCTTTTGTAGCCCGTCATGTCAAGCATAAGATCGCCCGTCTCGGTCACATGCGAGCGGATATTTGATCCAGAGAGCTTCTTTGACAGAGCTGTTGCACGGGAAACAGCGTCTTCCAGAGACAGCGGGGGAGGACTCCGAGCCCGGGCCAGATCAGGATCATCGGTTGAACCTGCTACGTGCGGGCCATAGGCGTGGTCTGCCACACTATGCGCTTGGCTCAGGAGAACGTCATCTGAAGCCGCACGGTCCAGCTTCCCCAGCTCTGGTTCATCCCCGAACGAGCCATGGCGAGACCTGCTCGTACTAGAGTCACCTGGCGACCCTGACAAAGGTGTCATTGTTCCTATAGGCCCAACAATGTTAGATCGAACCCATAGTAGGAGTAATATACTTTGCCGCACCTAAATCACTGGATGCCCGCATGCTCCTGGACAGTATGGGAAGACTTTTCGGCTCATTGCCGTTTCCATTGGAAGACGATCGATCTAGATCCAGATAGTCGGGTTCCTGGAGAGAGCCCGGGAGATTTTCTTCGCTACGCGTTCTCGGGCTACCCGTCGGCGACACTAATGGCGAGGTCTGTAAGGAAGCGGGGATTTCGTCTGACGTCTCAAACACAAAAAAAGCCTCCCCACCCTCCCCTAACTTCATGGAGTAATTTTGCTTGAGCCCATTGACTTTGAATTCCACCTTCAGAGCGCGCGGTCAGATGAATAGCCATTGAATTCGTGATAGATGTATCGTACCTTCTTCTCATAAGGACGGAGCAACGAGAACTTGCCAAAGCGAACGTGAAAAGGAGAACAAGCGAGTGTGCCTGGATGCGACCGTTTAGCAATGATGGGATGAATCAAACGGTGCGCAAGTAAACAAACCATCTTCTTGTTCAATGACGATTACATCAATGGCCCCGCTCAAGGTGGCTGGATTGATAGAATTCCAGGTCTTGGAGACGGAGCCGCTGATACTGCGCACGTACTGCATCCTGCAACGTATGATGGGGAAGACCCCTCGATGATTTCAAACGATCCGTGAAGAAAAAGCGAACGATCAAGTCAAAGGCGGAAAACGAAAAAAGAATGCAAAGGCAGTGATTGAGGGGGTTGTTAGAAGGAATCGGAGGTCGCAGGAATTGCCGCCTACATACGGCCCATGTGACAAAGCCCCAGAGGCATGAACGAATGTAACCGCTGTATAGACAGACTGCTTGCTGCTAAAGCAAACCAAATATGAAACAGGGCCGCTCCCAAGTGACGCGAATGCAATGTGGCAGTCGGAGAGAAGGACAAGTCGGCCAATTAATTAGTAAAAATGGAGCCAGGTCCAAATTGTGGAAGATCTAGATGTTGGCTGTTGGGAGTCCCTCAACGGCCCAACGAGCAAGCCAAGGTCACGGGCTTCTTGCCTTACAGTTCCTCGGCATCAGCCGGACGGGCGTGGCGCTAACTCACATCCAGCAGACATTTCTTTTCTTGCCTATCTGGGGTTAGTTAACTAACTAGTACCGTCATGATCGGCTTAGTCAGGGTTCTGCAGGTGACTAAGATTTTCTCGTGCCAAGTTCGGATGGATCACATGACTATGCCCCACATGACTGCTTCCGCGGATACTCTGTTGGAGATGCACCTTTAGTTGCCGACCGTACTTGACTATTGCCCCGAAAAAAAGTGGATTTCGAAGAGGCTGGCTTCTCTCGCCAATCTGTCTGTTTCCCCTCTTCTGTCATACCCGTCTCCATGGGTATCCGACGCTGGGATGTATGAGCCGCTGCATCTCTCTTTTGACGCCTACCCTAGCGTGGTCCCTCGAGTAAGGGTACGAGGTGTCATGGCTCTCTTCCTGGCCGTCACCATTCTCTGGGCCTTGATTTGGTACGTTCCTTCAGCTTCAATATTCGACACCGCTCCCCATCTAACGGTCTTGGCCGAAGGCTATTGTATCGCGCATGGCAAGTCTGTCAGACTCCAAACGATGTCCTAGTGGAAAAACTCGGATTGGACATCCCTCCGCCACCAGAGGTTACACTAGAGGAGATCACCGCCCGTGAGATTCGCATTGCTTGGAAACAACCCGAGTTTCACAACTCAATCCACAAGCACATCATTCAGGTGAATGGATCAAAAGGTAAATTTTCTTTTTCGCCTCCTCTTCTCACCATTGGTGTTCTAGCAAAGGTTGACGGCCATTGTTAGTGGGCGAATCAAAACGAGCAGAAACCGCGGTGGAAATCTTAAATCTGGCACCGGGCAACATATATCATATTTGCGTTCTTTCCGTTAGTGCAGCCAATTTCCAGACGCCTAGTGCTATTATTCACGTGCGGACACAATCTCTTCCTTTATCCCAAGCTCAGCAAAATGCGCCTGTTGGAGGTCCCACTATTCGGGCGTCAGTCCCGCGATCGACTGCCGGTCTCGCAGCTCCCTCGGCTCCCGTCATGTCTCGCGAGCACAGTGGAGGGCAACTACCAACGAAACGATCTTCAGCTGGTCGAAAGCAATCTCCCGCCGCTGGCGGGCCGGAATCCTCCCACGGCAACATAGAAGACTTGCAGAAGAGTGCGACGAATGGTGATCGTGATGAAACGCTCGAAAAACTTGCCGATAGGTTAAAGTCATTGCAGCAGGAAAACGAGAATGTTGAAAAGCAAACCGCCGATGAAGAAGAGGAGCACGTCGCGCTCTTGAAGGAGTTGGAGAAGCAGCGTGACGACTTGAGGAAGCGAGTAAAGGAAAAGGATGAAGCTAGCGGCGACCTAAAGAAACACGTTTATAAGTTGGAAAGCGTCAATCGCACGGTGCAAAGCGAGAAAGCGAAGCGTGAGAGGCTTGTGCAACAGAAGGAGTCTGAGCGCAAGAAGCGCAAGGATGACATTGTGCGATGGCGGGAACGGATCTCACGAATGACAGCCGATGCTGCGCAGGCAAGGGAGGAGAAGGCACGTCTAGAAGAGGATGGGAAGAAGCGTGCGGATGAGGTCCGGGAAAAGATCGCCAAAGAGCAGACAGAGATGAAGGTCATCGACGATGAGATACAGGATAAGGGGGGTCGGATCAAGAAGCTTGAAGAAGAGAGGCAGGGGCATCAGGGTCCAGATAGTGAAGACGGCAAAGAGTTGGATCGAATTGACAACGAGCGTGCTCGACAGTGGGAGATTAAGCTAAGCAACCTACACGCTCGATATGCTACCCTGGTGAATATTCATGCTCAGGTTTGTGACTCCCGAGGACCAACATTTGAGGCAGATACTGACTTGGTGCGCAGGCTCAACAACAATATCAAGAGGCCCAAGAGCGTCTGAAGTGGCTGACAACGCAAGGACCCGGGAGCACGGGGCCCTTTACTCTGCCTGCCCTAGACCTGGACCTATCCAACACAGCGACCATCCGCCCACGTCGTCATCGCAGTTCTCTGACCAGCAATGTTTCGTCCCCTATGAATTTCACGGCCATGGAACCTTCGTTCTCGGGTGGTATCAATTACAACCCCCCTTCCACAAGCTCGCCTACCTTTGGACCCAGCTCCGCTTTCTTCAATATCAACAATGGAATGACCATTCCAGGCTTGTCAAGTCAGGCCGCCGATGCCATTTCCGAACTCTCGTTTAGCAATCCTCAAATGAGCCCCCGGGCTGACGCGTTGCTTCCGTCCGACCTCCTTGGAGATGAAGAGCCACCAGAGCTTCCCCGGCCAATCGTGCGACCTGTAATGTCCGATGTTGAGCAGTCGAGTGGCCAACTTGAAGGTTTCCCACAAGGTCCGCCATCGCCAGAGTCTTCCGAGAGCAGGCCTGGAAGTATCTTTGCTAGTCCACATGAGAATCAGAACCAGGAGCCTGACTCTCAGCCCATACGCCTAGGAGATGCCGCAGAGGCTCCGAAAAGTGCCTCGCGGCGACTCTCTGGTCTGTTCGGCTTCCATCGTCCTCGCGGTAAAACGCTCGCAGATGAACCGCCTTTACTAGGCACTCTGAAGCCAGGACAAAGTCAGTCTTTTCCACGGAATCTGGACGAAATGGATCCCATCGGTGCCAGGCGCCGCCGCCTGAGCTATACAGGAAACTGGGCCAATCCGATGTCATTGTTCCCAAGGAGCAACACCACGGGTGTCACCGCCGATAGTTCTTCCGATCATATGCCGTCCCGGCGGGCCGCTTTGACCAGCATCTTCTCCCCCAGCAGGTTTGGATTCGGCAGTGGGAGCAGTCTGATGAAGTCTGGCGAACATTCTGATCTTAGCACTGGATATAATCAATTTAGTCCTAGGCATGATCCGATCGACCCCTCGTCAATTCTCGGTACTGTGCGACGGGGCTCGTTGTCGCCAAGGCCATCGTCCACATTTTCCTTTGAGAATCAACTTCCCCATCCATCCACAGACAATCAACATTTCGGCTGGCCGTCGGCAGAGAAACCGGGCCATAGAAGCCCTCTAGGATTCAGTTGGGCTTCGCCATCGACTTGGTCAAGAGCCCAATCACGCCGGCAGTCTACTTCGTATGGCTCCTCCGGCCACTTACCTCTGGGACTCACAGGGGAACCTGATTTCCTTGAAGACTCTTCTTTTGAAAGACTTGGACGACCCTTACAGGCGCCCATTGGTACGAGACCATCATCTTCGCATCGGCCCATAACTCCGAAACTGAATCCCACTGCGCCCACCTTCAAGACCGTTTTTACCAAGGGTTCGGAGAAGGGTAAGGATAAGGATGGGGAAATGGAGATAGACAATGGGGCAGATACCTCATTTGAGTTTCTTATGGACGATGGGTCACCGTCTGAGCCTCGTACCTCTAAGGAATCTTATTCCCGCTCTCTGACTGCCTTTACTAGGGATTCGTATGAATCTCTGGAACAGTTTCCTTCCGCGGCTTCTGCGGATAATAGTAGCTCGAAAGAGTCATTCATCCGGAAAATCACGCGGAAGGGCAGCTCGGGCAAGTTCAGCTCGTGGAAAGACCGCTCAGGCCTGTTCTCGAAGAAGGGGGATAGCAGCCAGGGTGATATCGAGGAAGACGGCAATGGCGAATCACTGCTCGCAAAGAGCGTGGACAGCACTGTCTCCAGCGCTCCATCCGCGGACAGGTCGACCAGGAGCAGCCTTGGATTCTTCAGTCGCAAATCTAAGAAGGCGGATAAGGCGGCCAGTGAAACAAGTGAACGGCCTAGTGAACAAGCCAGCGAAACAGGCGGCGAGGAACATTCAGAGGATATTCATACATGATAGTACTCTTATTGTCACTGGTTATAGAGAGTGGGGGTTCCGCTGATTGAAAGACTTCGCAGCGTCTTTGCACAATTTCATTAGATATAAAACATAGGATAGTAATCTTTCTTGGATGGCGTATGCATGATCCCCGGTTGTTTCATCTTTGATATATTTCAGTCGTTCAAATTCTTTCTCGTTTAATCAACATATATTGAGTTGCCAACAAGAAAAGTGCAGTCTTTCCGAAACTTAGTACTCGTTTAGTAATAAAAAATACCAATAATCTTTCGACGTGTGTGTCTAGGTGTAGATATAGATATAGATATATATACTTACGAGTCTTGAATCTGGGGTTGGGTGCCACTCATACCCGTCGGTTAAAGTGGCTTCCGCACAACTTCATTCATGTCGCCGTTCTTTTTCTCCGATCCATCACATATTATACATACAAGCAGTTTTGTAGTAAATCCAAATAAATGGCGAACTCAAAGTATGCCCTTCCACTGGGTCCCTCATTATTTCCATGGATATAACATGGCTAATTTAAATAACAGGTACGAGTACGTCAAAGCCTTCGAGCAGCCAGACGTTTTACTCCCCAATACTTGGATTGTAGTCCGCATCGATGGCAGGGGTTTCCACAAGTTAGTAGCTATTCTCCCCCATTTTTTCCCCTATGAAAAAGAAAAGGAGGAAAAAAAAAATTGCGTTTGCCCTTTTCTCTCTGCGAATCTATCTCTGAGATTTGATTCTGATTTTTTTTTTTTTTTTTTTTGTCATG